GCTGGCAGCCAAACACAACACAGCCGCTCACTCCCCTTCTCCAGCCTCCTTTGTGAGATGACCAGGTTAACACTCTGCTGCCATGGTCAACTTGGCCACTGTGTTCACCCCCGCCCAGATCTTTCTTCCAGGCTTAGCCCACCTCCCCGCAGACCCTCACAGCCAGGAGGATGAGTGTGCACGCCCTGGCATGTGGAAGGACAGGGGCTCCCCTATGGAAGGGGAATAAAGAAAGGACCAGGGAGGTTCAGAAAGAGTAAAGAAATTAATAAATTACCAGCACTAATTAACTTAGACCATCCTGTTTCTGTCTCTGCAGCGGCTACGACTTTGACTATGATTATTACAGAGACGACTTCTACGACAGGTGAGCAGGGGAGGCATCACCCAAAGGGGTTTTCTATGGGTCAAGATGTTCCCTGCAGGGCTGTTCCACCCTCCCCATCCTTCCCCCCCAACTCCAGGCTCTTTGAGTACCGGGGCCGAGTCTCTCCGGTGCCCAGGGTGGTTCCTGTGAAGCGGCCGCGGGTCACCATCCCCCTTGTCCGGCGTGTGAAAGCGACTCTCCCCGTCAAGCTCTTCGCCAGATCGGCTGCCATCGCCAACAGCTCGGCCAAGTTGAAGCGTGAGTTTGTGCGTGGGGTGTGGTAGGACAGTGTGGAGACCAGCGTGCACATGGACCTCCTGTTCCCAGCTATTCACTCACAGGGTTGGATGTTCCCAGGGAGAACCTTAAAAAACAAACAACCAAACAAAACATCTGGAAGCAGCTGCCCAAGCCAGGGCTTTTCAGAAGCCCACAGGCTGCAACTGCAGCAGGGGAAGGTGCAAGTACAACGTGAGCGTACCAAAGCCTGGTGTCAACCTCCACAATGTGCCTGGACAATGGACACACTGGTTTTTTTGGGTGGATATGACCACCTGCAGCACCCTCAGCTTTCCTGCTGGCACTGTAAGAGGCAGCAAGGCAGCGAGGGCTGGTGGTGGAGGAGGACACGCTGCTGCTCCATGCAAAGCTAGCTTCTCCTCGCCTGCCCACCCAGCCCCTGGGAGCTGTACAGGGTGCCCTGCACTCACACACCTCTCACCACCACTCCTTCCAGCCTAGCAAAGCTCAGATGCGCCGTGCAGCAAGGTGTGAGCGTCACCACACGCTGACCCCAGGGATGTGAGGAGCACATTTCTAGCGTGGGGGTTTCTCGTTGGTTTTTAACCTGCTGAGCGAGGTGCGTGGGCTGGGCAGAGGGGTGAGGCAGGTGCCTCGGGTGCTCTGCAGGCAACTAAATGCCTTTTTTTTTTTTTCCCCCCTTCCTTCTTCCCAAGTGAAGTGCAGTGAGCTGCAAACAATCAAAACTGAGCTGACACAGATCAAATCCAACATTGATGCTCTCCTGGGCCGGCTGGAGCAGATCGCTGAAGAGCAGAAGATGTCCACAGGTCAGTTGGATGCACGTGGATGCCTCAGGGTCGGGCTGAGAATGGGCACAGAGTGCAGGGAAGAGCCCTGCAGAGCTGGGTGTGAAACCATCACTGCTTAGAGCATCCTCCAGGCTCTGAGGGTGAAGTGTCAACCCCCAGGTTCCAGGGTGGAATCACAGGCCAAAATTAGATGCTAAAATTCCCCAAATTATAGAATTGGGGTTTAAAATTAGGAGATTTTTTTTTCTCATATAGTTTGTATTTAAATTTGATTTTTCTTCTATTATTCTATTCTTATTCTATTTCTTTTCTATCCTGTTCTATTTCTTTTCTATTTTTCTTTTCTCTTTTCTTTTCTCTTTTTTTAAATTTGATTTTTCTTCTATTATTCTATTCTTATTCTATTTCTTTTCTATCCTGTTCTATTTCTTTTCTATTTTTCTTTTCTCTTTTCTTTTCTCTTTTTTTCTTTTCTTTTCTTTTCTTTTCTTTTCTTTTCTTTTCTTTTCTTTTCTTTTCTATTCTACTCTATTTTATTCTACTCTATTCTATCTTATTCTATTCTGTCCTATCCTATTCTAATCTATTCTGATCTCTTCTATCCTGTCTGCCTCCCACACTCACTCACTCACTCACTCACTCAGGAATAACTTGGAAGAGTTCCTTTCAAGCACCTTCCTCAAAATCAGCGAAATTTCCCATTGCAGAAAAAAAAACCCCCAAATTCCTAGATCCATTATTTACCTCCCAAGTGAGTTTGGGGGCTCGGTGGATTAGTGTCATCAGGCTGTGGCCATTGCCTCCCCCTGACGCTGGTGGCTTGGCTCTCGCTCTCCCAGAGGTACGGAAGAAGGCGGAGGGCAGCAAAAGCGAAGTCTTGCAGGAGGACACAGCGTCAGAGGCAGAGGTCACCACGGAGGAGCCGCTGAATGGGGACGAGGGTGAGGAAGAGGGTCTCGCACGGGATGAGTGTGAAGATGAACTGGTAAGAGAGTTTGGGTGATACATCCCTCCAGCCAAAGGAGTTCAGTAATGGACCAGAGTTTTATTGGAACTTACTAAATCCCTAGAAAAAATTGTTTTTCTTTCCTCAAAAGAAATTGTTGTATTTCAATCTCATGATTGTTCACAGCTTGTTCTCACAGACGGTTCTGTTGCTTGCGAAAGCCTTGACCTACCAAATGTGTGTGGAGACGCTGAAGAAACATCCTTGGCTCGTGGGAATTCAGACCCCATTTATCTTTGATTTCACAACTATGAATTAATGGTTCAAACAAGTTGCTCTGCTCCCGAGTAATTCTCAGATGGATTGAAACACATGGCAAAGACAGGCCATGTCCTATTAACTGCTCCTCCATCTGGATGGACACCACATGGCATAAACCTCGTTATAAGGTCCCAGTGAACAAATTTTGTACCTAAATGGGTACAAAAGCCCTGCTCCTGAGTGCTCTGATGGCAAAGGTCATACAGGGCACTGTGTTATGACCCCTGGCAGTGCTGGCATTTATCCCAAATTAAGACTCCTCTGAGAACAGGATCAGCTCCAGATCCAGGCAAAGGGTAACAGGGTGCTGAGGTGGAAGGACAGATGTTCCTGTGAGGAGCAAGGAGTTGGACTTGATGGTCCTTATGGGTCTCTTCCAAATTGAGATATTCTGTGGTTCTATGACAGCCCTGCTTGCTGCCTCTTCTGCAGGGCCACAGCCCTGGGAAGCTGGGCTGGCTGGCACGGCTGTCCCTCAGAGGCTTGGGGCACGTTGGGGCAGCCTCTGAGCAGAGTGTCCCCTGCAAGAGCTCTGCTCCTTCCCACCCCAGCACTGGTGGCAGCAGAAGTGAGGATGAAGCTCAGCATCCCTTTCTTCTTCCTCACCCCCTCATCCTGGGCTGGCCACACCACACTGCACTCTTCCTATGGCCAAAAAGCTCCTCTAACCCAACACGCTTCCCAGCTTGTTTGTACTCTTCTACTCTGCCCCACCTCAGTCATGATGGATGAGGGATCTGAAGGGTCTTTCAGCTCTTTTGGTTTCTGGAACCTCATAGCTGAAGTCCCTGACTCCTGCTAAATCGAAGGGATTATTAAGGGGAGACATGATAACAGAGGCTCTAAAGAAGAAAGGCAAAAGCTGGCCTCCATCTCTGTCCGGTAGGATAAGGGAGGCCAGGTTTGAATTACCTCAAGGGAAACAGATGGTAGAAATTAGGGGGAAACTTGCTGATGCTAATGATGATAAAGCAGCACACACCCTGTCAACAAAAAAATGTGGGCTTTTCTGCCATGAGTGGGATAAGGAAACAGAGTGGACAAACATCTGCTGGCAATTACTTAAGAAGAGCTGGGCATCATTAAGAGTAGATGAAGAAGAAGACTATTTCAGCTCCCTTCCATCTCTATTTTCTGTAACTCTCTGGTCCTAAAGTGGCATTGAGATCAGAAATATTTTACCGCCAGCACCAGACAGGCTCACATGTGCTCAGCATCGGGCAGGTGAATGTGTGCAGTTCGTCTGCTGGGATGTTCTCTTAAACACCGCAAGGCAGCTCACAAAAACCTTCTTGTATATTCTGCTCCTGACCTTACAACACTGAACAGTTTTGAAGTCTTTCCAGTTCCTGGGGAGTGTCTCCTCTCTCCCACATCTCTTTGGCTTACACACATCCTTGTAGCCTTCCCCATCTGCTGTCCATGGACATGGTGCCCACACCAGTCCCTAGAAACATTATCTACCCTTGACTCTGAGGGGCAGGGGTGTCACAGGAGAAGAGTCAGAGGTCACGCAGATCTAATCTAGTAACTACTAGTTTATCGAGTTCCAAACAGTAAATTTAGGTATGTCAGATATTATAGAATCATAAAATCCCAGACTGGTTTGGGTTGGAAGGGACCTTAAAGATCATCCAGTTCCAACCCCCCTGCCAGCAGCAGGGACACCTTCCACTAGACCAGGTTGCTCAAAGCCTCATCCAGCCTGGCCTTGAACACTTCCAGGGAGGAGCAGCCACAGCTTCTCTGGCCAACCTGGGACACTGTCTCGCCGCTCTCACACCAAAGAATTTCTTCCTAATATCTAATCTAAACCTCCCCTCTTTCAGCTTAAACCCATTTCCCCTTGTTTTGTCATTAACTGCCCTTCTGAAAAGTCCTTCCCCAGCTTTCTTGTAGCCCCTTCAGGTACTGGGAGGCCGCTATAAGATCTCCCCAGAGCCTTCTCTTCTCCAGGCTGAACAGCCCCAACTCTCTCAGCCTGTCCTCACAGCAGAGCTGCTCCAGCCCTTGGATCATCCTTGTGGCCGTCCTCATACAGATGGATTGGTGGTCAATACTCTATTATTTACTACACTGAAAGTTAGTATGGGATGCAGAGATGATCATCTGAGCTTACTCTACATGTCTTAAATGTCACATGCATGCAAAAAATGTCACTTACCAACTCATCGATGCCTGGTGCCAGGTAAGGGATCTCTGAGCCTCGAGGGGTGACCTGGAGGGCTGTCCCTACACAAGGGGAGATGCCCACCGTGCAGGCAGCTGCCGTGGAGGGAGAGAGCGATGGGCCCTGGTATTTATAGTGTAAAGTGGTTGATTCGTAGTCAGATTTTTTTGCCATGTTCATGCACTTTCAGCTGCTTCTCAGCCCAGTCTCCAGACAAACTGAGGTTTTTTTGGTTGGTTGGTTTGGTGCTGGGTTCTCACTGATGACTTCACACAATAGGATTAACCTTGTTTCAACTTTACTTGCTGAGCATCTGGCTGGACCAAAGCTGAGTTAGTTCAAACAGGAGGAGTACATCTGTCACAAAGACATCGCTTATGCAAGGCAGGAACCAGCCAACGCTTGGGCAGCACCCAGCACAGAGGCTTCCCTGCCATGAACCTCTTCCCCATGGTGACAAGTTGGGAAGATCTGTCTGGGCTTGGGTCTAGATCTGAACTACACCCTTGTAGACAACTGTGGGATGTCAGGCACACAATTCCCATTGGAAGGCAGCGGGACCTGGGCAAATACTTCCTTTCAGCCCCACTTCCAGTGCCAAGGTGGCTGTCCTGGTTCTGTGCACAAATCTCTGCCTGGCCTTGGTGAAGTTTCCAACATCACCTGGGGAAATCAAGTCCAAAATATACACTGCAGCCCACACTGAGAAGGACGAAGGGGACCCCCCTCCCCAGACGAGTTTGTGCCCTTTTCAGAGAGGGTGGGCAGTAAAGGAGCTCTCAGAGGAAGGATAAAGTAGGTAATGCTTCATTCCAACAGGCTCTGCCACTAGGCTTAGGGACCTGGGAGGCCAGAAGACACACCAGACCAGTGAAACCCAAGAAGAAAAAACCAGAACCTTTTCCATGTGCTTTCTCACTGAGTCCCTCGGTCCCCTGCCCCATTGAGCCGTGAGCTTACATTTTTCTTAGCCTTCCTTTTGCTGCTGGTGTCCCTACAAGTGGTCTTCTCACTCCATCACTGAACGCTGGAGGGATGGCTCTATATTCCTCCCGGGTAGCTCAGCTCTGCTTTCCATCTTCTAGGTTCTCCCTCTTTGTGTAGGAAAAAGTTCAGTTTGGAGCTTGCTGTTCATCCATGTTGGCCTCCTGCCACACCTGCCCGACTGTCATCAGAAAGGGACATTCTTGTGCTTCAAGGCAGGTGTTCTTGATGATGACCCAGATGCCCTGGCCCCCATGGCCTCCAGAGCAGTCTCCCATGGGATTTTGCCAAGCAGATTCCTGAACAACTCAAAATGTGTTCTCTTAAGTTCAGAGATTAGATTCTGCTCTTTATCTTGGTCATTTCTCTCAGGATTCTCAACTTCATAGTCTCATAGTCACTGCAGCCAAGACTTCTCCCCATCTTCACATCCTTGGCCAGTTCTTCCTTGGTCATCAGTAACAGTCCAGTAGATTGTCTCCCCTAGTCAGCTGGTCAGTCAGCTGCATCAAGAAACTTCTTGACACCCTCCAGAAATCTCCTGGGTTGCTTGCACCCAGCCCTGCTGTCCTCCCACCAGATGCCAGGGTGGTTGAAGTTCCCCAGCATTACAAGGGCCTGTGACTTCCTCCAGCCATCCAGAGTCTTCATACCAGGTGGTCTGTAGCAGATGCCTGCCATGGTGTCACCCATGTTGAGCTGTCCCCTAATCCTCACCTGCAAGCTCTCAGATGACTCATCACCTGGTCCAAGGCAAACCCCTGTGCGTCTGGGCTATTCCCTTGCCCAGAGCACACGCCACCTCCCTGCCTTTCCTGAAGAGCCTGTTCCCAGGGCACTACCTGCTCTGTAATTGCAGAGAAGGAGCCTTTTTTCTGTTGCCAAAAGTCACAAACCTTCAGACTTCCCAGACTCCTGGGAGTCTCCATCCGCAGCTCCTTTGAGTGTAGTCTCCAGCTGTCGCTTCTTCATGCTCTGCAGTCCTGAGGCTTTTTTCCCCTGTAGGGTCTCTGCAAAGACCCTGTTGGTCCCCGTGACCATAAAAATCTATTCATCTCCCCCAGTGCCCTGTAGACCAGCACTGCTGCTAACAAGGTTGAGACTGGGCTCCTTTGTTTTTCCTTTCAGATCACCTAGCATCCCCTGCAGGCATCTCCTGGATCCATTTCCATCTCTAAAATATTCACCACAACATTTGGCCTGTGCAGGAAATAAAATACCCACCGCTGAGCACCTCATTCTTTTAATGACACCATATTGCAGACCTGCTCCAGGAGGAACACTTCCACACTCCGTGCCTTCAAAACCACGTGTGGGGAGCAGTTCAGCACGCTGCCACTGTTCCCGTGGCCTTTGGAGTGATGAATATGATGAGTGTTACCATTCTGGATTATGAGTTCTGCTGCAAACTGGGACCAGTTTCTGTGTTCAGCAGCAGAGTCATTACATGGGGCACGATTTGCCGTTGTGGACTGACTGTGCCTTAGCATCCTTGGGCAGTTCCAGTAACGCAGCAGTGCCTGTCCCCTGCTGTGGGCCATTCCTAGGTCCCAAATTAACTTCTCTGAGTGCTACAACAAGTTATGAGTTGTGTGCAAGCACAGGCAGCAGACTTTAGGAAAGTGCTGAGCACGGCCTTAACCTGCCCATGCAGAAATGAGGTGTCCAACCTGAGCATGGCAACTCATGCCACAGGCTCAAGACCTTCCCTGGGACATGCCCACTGGAGGTGCTGACTTTGGTGTAGCCCAGATCAGACGCTTGACTTTACACAAGGGAAGGTAGGCTTAATTTCATCCCAGTTTGTTT